CTTAACGTTGTTCCCTTCAGTTTAATGTTAGTGCGTGAACTAAACCAGGAGAAATAAGTTGCCCAGAGAATCATGAAGGAGACTAGGTGCAAACTTTGCTGGTAACAAAACTGTTTGAATGGAATGCAAAGAGCAGTTGAAATTCGGATTTATTACAGACATACAGCTAATGGGAATTACAATCTAGCCAGCAGAACTGCATGAGTTTAACTGCTCATCTTCAAGTGGTCATCAGGACTGTAGGTTACTAACTGCTATTGGGCTGCTTCCTTTATATTTGGGGAGGAATAGCAGAATAATATTTGAACAAGATGATTTCTATCAGTCGAAACTTCTAAAAAAGGCTTGGAAAGGACCAGTTTATCTTAAGTTGTCTGGATAGCGGGTGGACGAGGAAGAAAAGCTTTTACGAAGTTCAAAAGATTGATCTTCTTGCTCCCTCCCCCCCGCCCCCCGCTTCCATGAATTGAAATAAAACCAGATCAGGGCAAGCGCACACAAAGTTTCCCTTTCCGTTAGATTTATGGATGGATGAATATTTATCATGCTAGCGCTCTGTCTGGGTGGATTTTTAGGATTCTACCCAAGCCCGCAAATCTGGGCTTCAGAGACTTCGGTGGCGCATGGAGACTCCTTTCCTGGCCTTTGGGAATGTGTGCAGCTATTTTAAAACTGAAAAGTTTCCCTGTTATGATCTGATCCTTCTGGGAAAGGGGGTGTGGGGTAGGGGGTAGGGGGTGGGGGGTGGGAGAGGAATGGCCCAAAATACAAAGCCGAACAATCAACAACCGCCTCCTCTGTTCTGTGCGCTTGGAGGAGGCTGCCTTCCGCCCGCCTCAGACTTCCAACCCTTTCGTCTAGGTGTGAATAATATCAAAAGAGCGAGCCACGTTCGGTTTTTCACTTTTGTTTGCTCACATGATCCCTGCGGCCCCTGACACTTTGAAAAGCCTCTTTCAAGGTTTGACTTGGGTGTTTTTCCCCCTGAATTCCGAAAAAGAAATGATTGAGAGACTTTTCTCTTTCATACAACATTAAACACCCCCCGCCCTCCCCAAAAGAGGTCAAACAAAACACCCTCTTCTTGATTTATTCTCTCCATCCCTTTCCAGCTCGCTCTTTTAATTAACACTTCGAAGGAAGTGGAAGTTCCTCCAGCGCCTGTCTTCGCGCAGATACAGGGGTGCGCGAGCGCGGATATGCGCGCACGAGGGACGACCTGGAAAGGATCGCTCCTGGCGCCACCAGCGTTTGCGTCCGCATCGTCATGACCTCGGCTCCCTGCCGGAGGCAGCGCTGCGCGCCCAAGCCCTGTGCCCCCAAGCCCCGTGCCCCCAGCCCCGTGCCCCCAGCCCCGCTCTCGCTGGCCAGTGCGGTTCCAGCCCGCGGGAGGCGGGTGAGGCGCGCTTCCCCCGGCTTCCCCCGTTCACACGCCTTCCCTCGGCGAGCCGCCGCCCTCCTCTCCCGCGCCGGTGCAAGGCGTCGCACCTCGCGCCTTCCCCTGGAGTTACTAGGTAGTAAGCCCTTTGGATTCCGGTGGGACTGACTTCCGAGGAAGGGCGCGCCCGACTGCTCCCACATCTGGCCTACTTTTCTAAGGGGTTAGCCGTCCGACGGTTCCTTCACACGTTTACTCAGAAGTAGGTCCCACTGTTTCCAATGGGACTTCCTCCCCAGAAAGTGTGCGTCGGATCGAACTGCGAGAGAGAGCTTTTCACTCTTCTTTTGTAACTTCTGTTGCTTGTCTCTGATGGCTAGTCCCGAACAGCGAGTCAGCGAGGCTTCCTCCGCATACTCCTTAACGGAGTAAGACCCACTGCACTCGGGGGAAATGACTGGTGCGTGAACCTGCGTGTTTAGGCCTTTCTGTCTATGGGAAGGAACAACTTTTATACTCTTTCTGGAGTGCAATCTCTTTGCTTTACCCCTCCTTCCGCTTCTCTCCTCCTCTCCTCTCCTCTTCCTTTCCGCATTTCCACTCCGCACCTTTCTCGTTTGAGTCCCCAGCGCTTCTTCCTAGAAGTTCTGAGTACACGAGGAACAGGATAGGAATCGCCTTACAGTAACCTCTCTGGAAAGCAACTTTTCTTCAGCTTTCTATTCAGCCTCGCCCCGCCAGTTAGTGAACGCTTCGCCCGATTCTGTGTATGCTTACGTGAAAGTAAACTCAGCGAGCAGATGGGTCTCCCTCCCACGCAGGTGTGCGCATCCTTAAGCAGCATGGCTTGGCAGAATCAGGGTTTCATTCCTTAGCACAGGCCCTGCCCTGCCCTGCCCTGCCCTCCCTCTGATGTAGTCCCATTGATTCCATTGGGACTGAGGGGCCATTCTAGACACGCTCACCTAAAGTCCAGATGAACTCACGTGAATAGGTAAAGGAAGAGCGCATTGTAGGTCTGCCTAAACGCAACAGCACATCCTAAATAGCCTAATAGTCTCTGAAGCCAATGTTATTGATTTCCATGGGACTTACTTCCAGGTTAGCCTGTTTAGAATACTGGCCGAAGGCTGACAGTACGTGCACGGTGATCTAGGAATAACTTCCACTGAAATCACAGGGGAACGCCTCTGAGTAAACATGAATTGGATCGGGCTGCGCGGCTGCCATCTTCCTGTACATCCTCGCTCGGAAGTTTACTCTACAGAGATTTACTTCTGAGTAAACAAGCGGTATAATACATCTAATTACGCACGCAAGAATCGCAGAATTCATTGGGATTTGTTTGTGCAATCCACCATTTTTCTAGTTAAATAAATGGGATTTACTAGAAACTTTAAAGCTGACTGGATTGTGACCATACCTGCTTCACAATAAGTTCTCCTGAAATCAGTATATAACTAATTTCCAGCTAAGGCTTAAATTCTATGTACATGCACCTTAAAGTAAGTGCCATTAGTTTAACAAGTTGGACTTACTTTCGAGTAAACATACATAGAATCCTGTAGCGACTGACTATCCTTAAGGACGTTTGCGCAGAAGCCTTTATGTCCGAGCATTCCGCGTGCTTATTTGGGATGGAGCCTCATAAAACACTAAACACATCAAGTTGGAAGTAACTTCGACTAACTTCAACAGCGTTGCCTTCGAATAAACGGCATCCCGCAGCCCAAGTCTACAAATGTTTACTCGGAGGTGTGTCCAGTGAGGCTGACTCCTAGGAAAGAGCGCGTGATGTGGGACCGCAGGCTTCTGCTTAAACGCTCTCAGAGCGGCGATTGCAGCTGAACGGGGGGAGGGCAGTTGTGGCTGGGAATTTGCGCATGCCGCGCTTGGGCGTGGGGAGGGGTCTGCACCGAGGATGAGATTTCACTTTCTCTTTTGCGCTCACTTTCTCTTGGGTCGTTCCGTTCCACACACCCCCTTCCCGCCGCCTGCCTGCCGACTTGCTTCTCGGCTGTGCGCTCGCTGGTGTGTGTTGTCTCATCTTGCCTTTGCCGTCGGGTTTGGGGGGGGGGGAGCTGGGGGTGGCGGCGCCGATATAGCAGCCCTGCCTCCCTTCGCCTTTCTCAGATCAATGCCCCTGGCCACTCGCTCACTTTCTGATGTTGCGCGACGGGAAATGCTTTGAATACTTACGACATGGCCGCTTGCATTGATTGCCAAGATTGACAGCAGCGCCTTCGCTTGCGTCGGGAGGGAGCGAGAGGGCGGCGGCGGCGGCGGCGGCGGCGGGGGAGGGGGCCACGCGGGGGAAGTCAAGCCCAACAACAAATAATAATGAATCCGATTGTAACTAAATCTCCAAGCAACCCGTCAGCAAACTTCTCCTGACGATCTGGAGCCTGCCTATACATGGCCCGGAGAAACAGCAGCAGGAGCAGCAGCATGCCTGTAGCGCTTTTAATTTCTTTCTTTCGTTAGTATATTATGTGCAGCTTATTCGCCCTACCCTACAGTCAGTCACCTCCTTCCCTCCCGCTGCTGCACAGTTATTATGATTACTATTATTTAAAAGGAAGGACTCCCGAGGCTTAAAAAAAAATCGCCACACTGGATCTCCAATAAGGTAACTAGGAAAAGAAACCGCCCGGCGCAGCACTGATTGTGTTACTGATACCTGTTGTTGACTGTGGTCGTGTGTGGTACAAGCCTGGCTTTTGGGTGGGTTTTCTTGATCGTGCTCAGAGAGAAAGGGGGGTGCGCGCGCGGGAGGGGTGGGTGGCTTTCCCGTTTTGTCGTGTCGCTTTATGCTAGAGAATACGGTATTCTCCCTCGCACTGTCTTTAAGGGCTTGTTAGTTGCAATTGACCAAAGCGGCCGCAGCAACAGCAGCAGCAGCGTCCGGAGGTAGATTGTGAAGTTAAGAGATTTCTGAATGAATCTCCGGCACGATTGCTCGCTGCTAGGCTTTTCTGGGAGGGGGGTCTCTGTGGCGACGATTGGGATGGGATGGGAAAAGGCGAGCTGATGGAGAAAGTGCTCCTTGCGCTTCTAACCTGGGGTGAGTTTTTCTGAGTGGGTCCTAAGGTTGCATAAAGATCCCGCTACTCCGAAATCACAACACTGCCGCTTCCCCGCCTCCTCTCCCGGTTTCCCTTTCCTTCTTCCAAGTGGCGTCTATTTTAAAACGTAGTGACAGATCAGAGTTGTATTTTAAGATCACCCGCTGCTTGCGAACACATGGCGCTCGAGAGATACTGTACGTAAAAGTGATACTAACATAGGCAGGCGAGCGAGAAAGCGGCGGGGCGGGCGGCAGAGGGAAATAAAGTCCTTAAATCAATATTTGGGAGCATGAAGCTGTTCTCATTCCTCCGAAGGGGGTTTGCCTTCTGCCGCAGAAATGGGCAGAATCAGCGAACAAAGAGTTCTGATAGTGTCTTTAAATCCCCCGTTAACTTTGAGGTGGCTAAACTTGTCGAGAAGTTCGCCGCTAGTGTACTTATGTATCTGTAGAACAGACCTTTAAAAAAGCAGGGAAAGGGAGGCATTGGACCTCTGGGTGGTAATGCTGTATTGGACCACAGAGGGGCAGTATATCGAGGATTTGTTGTTCCGGTGGCGCCTTATCTCTCGGCAGGCAGAGGCTGGGATAAAGTTATACTGAAAACTTTAAAATTGATAGCACACCCTAATTTGTGTTCCATTGGGAGGGGGAGAAAAAGAGAGCCAACAACACACAGGGCTCTGCTTACACCATGAGAAGGGGAGCTCTTGGCTGCATTGTGGGCTCTCCCAACATTCAGCTGGGGATTTCTTGCTGTGTCTTAGCTCTTGCCGGAGGTCATGCAAATCGACCTTAAAAGAATGCATAAGCCATAAATTTAAATAAACCCCGTAGCCACGGGCTGATCCATAACTAGACGATACCTAACCTGGACAAAACGGCTTCCTTTGAGAGCGGGAAGAAAAGAATAGTGCCTAAAGTAAACGCAAAGTAAGTTTTCAGGACGTCTTTATTTTTTTGTATTAAATGTTGTTCTTTTCTGTTACTACTTCGTGAGACTCTAATCGCAAGGAAACTGCCTTGATCTACAGTCTAAAACGTAGTTGCAGACCGTGTACGAGTCAAGGAGCTTTGGGTTCCCCCTTTCCCCCATTATTTTCTGCTGCTTGTTTGTGATTTTTGAAAAGAAGTCCCTTTGAAATGGCGTGTACATAAGATGTGCTAATGTGAAGATCTTGTAACCTTTTCCTATTTTATGTCTGGATTGGCTCTCCGGAACTGCGTGTCCCTTCGCTAGGCACTGGTGTGTTGTGTGTGTAATCATCTGAGGTGATTCGTTTTATGTTGCATTTTTGTACTATTGCCTGCAAAGATGCTTGAAATCGTACAGACAAGAAGATAATTTGAAGGGACTTGATCTAGCGGTAAAACAGAGGTGACTTTAGAGACAAGTTAGATGTGTGCGCGCATCTGTGAGATGTACACGCCGGCATGGCTGTACGTACACACGACCCACATGCAGCTTGCACATGAGGACTTTCGCCGGCTTTCTGTGGCTATCAGCTCGGGAGCCTTCCGCTCTCCTTTGCCCTTCTGAGCAGTTTGCAGCAGCCTGGGTTGCTCGGATCTGCGCGCTCTTGGGAGGAGAGCTGGGCCTTGGGGTCAATCACAAGCACAGATCATATTGATTTGACTGCTGCCGCCGTCTTTACTCCGAGCAGGGCTCCTTTCCCGGGTCTTTAAGGACGGCGAGAGGAGAGTGGAAGTGGCAAATGTGGAAAGGCAACTGAGCGGTGTTGTGTCTGGGTGTCCGGGAGATCTTGCCGGGGCATGGGAGCCTGCGGACGGCAGATTAGCCCGGGTTCTCCAGGGTGTTACCCCAGAAACGCAGGCAAGGAAACTTTCTCAGATAAACAAAGTCTCTTTCTTCGTCTGCAATGTAGATAAGGGAGATGAGTTGTATGTGCCTTTCTTTTAAATCGGCGTAGGATGGGTGGGCAGCTGCAAGCCTAATTTAAATTTTCACGGGGGAAGGTCACACTTAACGTTTTAAAAAGTATTTTCATATTTTAATGACGGACTGATTGAAAACGATAGGGATCTCTCTACAAACGGCGACCACTTTTCCCTTTTCAAAAATCCTCTACTGATGTCAAGAGGATTTAGGAATGGAGAAGAGGTGGAAACAGTGTTGAGACTTCAGTTAGATTGCACTTGCTGTAGTGAAGCCCTCGTGTGTCAATCCATTGCATTAAAACATCTTGACACACAGCCCCCCCCCCCCATCACACAGTGCGAACCTTTGTTATCTGAAGTTTTGGAATCCTTTTGCAAAGTGACGTGTTTCGGACATTCTGCTTTTGCACCCGATTTCTACGTGTACGACGTCTCCCTTTTATAATGAAGAACCATAGCTAGAAGATAATCTTATTTAAAATAAAATGGATCCTCCTCGCCTTTCCCTCAAATGTATTTTTAGGGAGGTACATATCTGATAGAAAATAATTAGGTTACTTGGATTACGCTTGCAGCTTCAAGTAGCTTGACACCTGGCAGAGAGCTCCTGAAGCGTTTTCTTTAAACTCTTCCCTCCTTCTCCTTAACTACATTTCTTATAATACATTCTTGTGTTAAGTGAGAAAGGCTGTTTGTAAAACAATCCCCTGGCTAGTCCCAGTGTTGGGTGAAGCTGATCTTCTAATGGCATTTTGTTTTGAACAGTTGCTGTAGTTGAAGTTCCCTCATAAGGTAAGGTGGCACTGGCTCTGAAAGGAGGTCCAAATGCCACATTTATAATTAGACTGCCAATTCAGCACATTGTATCCATGGCTATACAGGGATATACTGCTGTGTCTGGCCTCTCTCAATAGCCTGTATTCAGAATTAGCCAATTCAACTACTTCAACTCTGGAATCAAATTTAGAATAGGCAGTGGGAGAAAGAAAAGAAAGAAAACAATAACTCCCTCCTTCTCCCCGCCACTGGCTATTAAAAACCAAAGAATTTAAGGAAACCAATCCATACAATGTAGTTGGAATCTATGCAGCAATGCGAATTTGGCAAGAGATTTTTTCTCAAAAAAAAAAAAAAAAAGTGCGGGGGGGGTAGGGAACTATCCCTCCAGTGTGGTAGGAAGAGAAAGATTCCAAACTCTTTACAGGGCGTGCGTATATGTGTGTGAGAGTGTTTTAAAAAAAGATGGCCAAAGGATATGTCAGTGACACCTGCCTTGCTATCTAAACAGAAATCCCTGGAGGGAACCTTCCAGGAAAAGTTTTAAACCCCTCTTGAAGGCATGAGAAGGAACTTTGCTAGCAGCCGGCTGGCCGGCCGGCCGGCCGGCCTGCCTCCTTCCCCGCTTGCCTGCCTGAGCTCTCCTCCGTCAGAGCTACAGGGAAGCCGCCGCCACCTCAGCTTAGGGGCAGTTTGACACCCTGCAGCAGCAGGCGAGCGAGCGAGCCACCGAGGGAGGGAGGGAGAAGGTCATTTGCATTCGCAGGCCCTTCCCTCCAATCAATGACCTCCTCATTCCCGGGGAAGGAAGGCGCTGAGCTTTAGGGTTAGTTGGTGATCCTCGCGCACGCGGCACCGCGGCGGGAGGGGGGAGGGGGAGGGGAAGGGGAGGGCGCGCTGCCGCTCGAACTTCTTCAAACTATGAGTCCTGTTATGCTAGTGCGGAAGCAACTGGTGCATTGAATCCAGAGGAGGGATATATGATGGCGGTTAAGTGCGCGGGCTGCGGCAGGGTCCGCTGGGAAAGTGGGTGGTGAGTCGGCCAGGGGCGGGGGGTTCGTGGCTTTCCTGTGAAGTTTTCCCACAGATGGTGGTAGTGCGGCGGCGGCGGCGGCGGCGGCTACAGCGGGGCGGGGGAAGGGTGGCGGCAGCGGCGGGGCAGCGGCGAGGAGCACGCGCCGTTGCGCCTCCGTCTCGCAGCCTGTCGAGCCCAGCGGCGGGGCTGGCTGCCCTTGGCTGATGCTGGCCACGCTCTCCCTCTCTTTCATCCCTTCTCCCGGCAGGCTTGGCTGCAGCGTTTGTTTGGGTGTTTGCTCTCTCGCGCGCCTCCTCCGTTCCCTTTGGCTTGTAAGAGTGCCGCAAGTTTACACTGCATTCGCCCCAGTGACCTGGATAGGACTACTCGGAGATAAAATGAGTTATGAGTGCTGACCCCACGAGGGTGTCGCAGATTAACAATCCCCATGCTTTGCTCAGTGTGCTGCAGTGCACACAGGCGTATTGCAGGACTGTTACTGTGTTTTATACACACACACTAGCACCACCAGCTGCCACATAAATCTCAGGAATGTGTCAGCTATGTACACAATCATTTTTGGGAGTATATTCTTGCTTTCTCTGGAATACCTTATGCATATCGAATTGCAGGCTTAATCATTGATTTATGTTTGAAAGCTTCCTTGGGCAACATTTGAGAAAATCAGTGAAGAAATGCTAAAAATGAATGCTGCATATTATCTCAATCTTCTCTCCCTCTCACCTAAACACACACAGAAGGCTGCGGTGCACATATTGTTTGATGCAGTCATTTAATGTGGGTGTATAGTATGGACACAAGAGTAGGGTCAAGACTCTGTAACAGTTTAGGTAAAAGGAAGATATATTTTCATAAAATGTTAATGATTTGTCGAGGCTTAAAGTTTGAATGACTTAAGGTTCAGAGAGCCAGAGTAAGTATTCTGTTTGAAAGCTACACCCTAGCTCTTAACATGTTTATCAGGATTCATTCTTAGGCACAAATAGGCAGAGGAAGGACTGCTGCCTTCTAAGTGTGTGCGTATATTGTGATTCAAATTTGTTCAGCATGAGTGGTGTGCACACACATTTCAGTATACTCTTAAAGTAAGAAAAAGATTTTAAAGCACCCAGAATTGCATGTTGTGCAGATAATTGCAGCACTTCATGCTGAGCTACTCACCTTGGGCAAAAAGTAGATTGTTTTTTAGTTCAGTATGATTATCTCCTGTGATAGTCCTTTTCTGATCTTTTGACCAGGCTTGTTTTAATGTGGGTCAGTAGGAAACAGTTCAGGTTGACCTCTTTCAGCAAAGAAAAAAAAAAAGTAGGGATTTTTTTTTAAATCCTTGCATTGAGAAACCTAGCAAAGAGATAGAGACCATTTTTGAGAGCAAAATAAATATTTTATTTCTGTTGGACATGGAAATGTTCCGCTAGCTATAATCTTACTAGGTCTGTCAAGTGCTTTAAGTATCTTGGGAAATACCAATTTTAAAATAAATCCATTAATCTTTTATACTTGGTCTTTTACTTCTAAAATGGATATGGGCCCAAGTTAAGGTGGTGAGGTTTTTATTTATGAAACGCATATGAAAACAAAACTGCATATAGATAAGTGATAGTTTCTTATTTTTTCACGATCTGTGAAAGGCATGCATAAGCTAAACTAGGTGAATACAGCACTTCACAGTGTAAAATATAGTCTGCATATGTGTAAAACCAGTTCTTGCAACAGTTGCTTTATAGCAGTATTAGATTTTAATTGTATAATGTTTACTTGCAGTAGATTCCAGTTAGTGGGACTTCACATTATAATAATATACTTAGATCAGGGTACTATCATGAAGATAGAGTGAAAGTTGTCAGAAGTACACTGGAATGTTGTAATGCTTCTTGCACTACAACCAATAATTTGTGTATAGTTTATTGCAGGATTGGTACGTTCAAAAATAAATCTTATAAATCAGCCTCACTCTTCCATCAATCCTTAATGTGTATCTTCTCCTCTGCCTTTTTTATAATGATGGCTAGTATTTGCAAGTGAAAACTTATTAACCATAATTTACACAAATCTTAAAATACGTTGATGTTTTTGAACTGGGGACCTCTTTTCTTTAGATCTGTATAAACTAATTCAAAGGGTTCAGTATAAAAGCTAGGTTTGATTTGCCTGTATTTGGACTTGAACCCTATTTATTAACTTACAGATTTGTATGACATCCAACACAGCCAATTTTGTG